AATAATAACCATTTCAAATACTGTTGTTTCTGTTTCTTAATAGTTCTGAAACTCTTTTATAGACCTACCTTTCACAGCTGGGTAGAAAAGAAATGACAACCAAAACCACCATTTATTTAGATCCTGTAAAATATGTTAACAATCTTTTCTTTCCTTTTTTTTTTTTTTTTTAAAGCATCTGTAAAAAACCATTATCACCACCATACTAGTGAGAAGAATTATTCTGGTACGTGAAATACAGATTATATAAACTCATCTCCTTTTCCAGGTGTTATAGTGGGCTTTACATACACAATCCCTAATCTCCAAAACAGTCCTAAAGGAATTATCTCCCTAGTCCATACATAAGACAACTCAGGCTTACAATTATGAAATTTGTGCCCAAGGCCAGGTAGGTAGTAAGTGGAAGATTAAAAACCTGAAACCCAGGTCTAGCTAGCTCCAAAACCTATGTTCTTTCTACTTTAACATTGTATTGAAATTATTAAATGCACTGGTTCTCCAGTAAAATTCACCTTCTGCTATGAAACAAACAAAAACATATTGCAACACTTTTTAAGGAAAATATATCATTAGTTAATAGAAAGCCACTTATTAAATATAATTCAAATCCTGTAATTTAGCAGGGAATGATTAATTATCTAGATTTCAAAATGCTCAATTTCAAGCAGTGTCTAATCATAATGCCTAGGAATCTCTTTTTTTCTACCAGCTATCTTGCTGGTAGAAATGGATGGCCATTCTATGCAACTCACCATTCATTTCCTTCTTCTCTGCTTTAAAAAGAAAGTTTTTGAAAATGACGTGAGATTCTACACTCATATTTTAGTCACAATGATCAGACATTTAAAAGCATGGTAGATGTTTTTCTATAGCATTTCGAAAGATGTCTCCCCTTATAAAATGCTTGCAAACCATGCAACAGTTTTAGATATAATTCAATTACAGAATAACAGATGGACAAAAGGTAAAAAGAATACATACTTTGTGAGAAGACAGAAAGATAGATGAACCAATAATAAAAGAGGCTGATGGTGGCACACAGGTTCCAAATGCCAAGCAAAAATAAACAGTATTCTGACTCAATAAGAAACTAACAAATCGCTGACGAGTTACCTTTCGCTGGGTTTTAGTTATTTATTTTGCTTAGTAGAAAAACCATCAGAATCATGGTTATAAAAGATAATTGTTAGTCTAATTCTAAAGTAAAGAAGACAGTTGTTTTTTACTTAAATTCAATAAGTTAAGATTTTTAAAATATTTGCTAGCCTCCAGTAAACTATAATATGAAAGGACTCGAGGCACTTCTAGCAGTGGTTTTTCATTTCAAGTTTCAAGTGAGTACAGATTTAGAATCATGTTTGCTTTGTAAGCTTAAAAGAAAATAGTTTAAAAACACATGAATCATATCTAAATTGAGATAATATATGTAAGTAAAGTAACTATGTATAAACTACATATTAAATACAATTCCCTAAAATAGTAAACCTAAAAATCATATATCATAATCATTCGTAAAATTCAAAGGTTTTTGTCTGAAGCTTCTTCAAGCTATATGATTCTTACCATTTCTTGCTTTCATTTGGTAAGAAATATTTAAAATACATTAGACTTAATATTTAATTTGGGTAGGCACAGTAACCTTTTTTAACCTTTCTTAGGGAACACTGACCCCTAAAGGTTCTAAATTTAAATAAGTTTCACCATATTCTAAATTTAAATGGCATCCGGACGTCATTTTTCCCTATATTATTGTAGATATGTATACTTATGGCAGACATGTTTGTTTATAAATATGTATTTTCAGTGGACTGTTGTGCATTATAAATAAACAACTAAACCATGTGTCTGCTAGTTTAATAAAAATCACCAAAATTTAATAGAGATATCCCGAAATTTATCATACTATTCCAAAAAATTACAGAGACTTCTGATCCTCATGCCTTTTTTCTTACTAGTTAAGTAAATAAATAAGTAAATGCTTAAAAGGGCTCAACAACCAATCACATAACAACTCACTCTGGGGGGCTAACTTTACATACATCCTTTGATTATAACATTTCATTTCTTTTTTCTGAAAAAGCAGAAACAAGAAAAACCCTGACAAACAAAGTTTTCACAAAAGGGCAAAAAACATCATTTACTTCTTAAGAAACCAGAAGATGTTACCAATGTTCACTTGGCAACACATGTTCATTCACTCACATATTGTTTCCAACAACTTCAAATGTTCTCCATTTAGAGTAAAAACAACTCTTCAAGAAACCTGGACACATTTTGTAGATGCCCTCACCCGGCCTACCTACCAATCACAGCTTTACATTTTCTAAACTGTAAATAATGACAAAAACAAAAAAAAAAGTAAATGGTTATGTCTGTTCACATTATATACCTCATCAACTTGGACTTCAAATATTTCAGCAATGTTTCTACAATAAAGCTAGGAAAAGAAGAGCCACTTTAGCACTCCTCATAATAAAATGTGTAAGGTGACACAAAGGCCTGTCTGTATAATACAAGTTTTTAGTTAGCTCCATTTCTTTAAAAAAATAAGTAAAATAATACGAATTAAAATAACTAATTACCCAAGCAGACTATGAATATGAGTTTAAGACAGAGCTTTGAAGCAATTTGTGTTTTAAGATAAATCCTGCAAACCTTGATGGCAAGACAATGACCATGTGAGATTTTAAACATATCAATTATATCACAAAACTCAAAAGATACATTTACCTATTTAATTTTATTTCTCAATGTTTCATTAACAGGCCCTTTATATAAAGGAATGTCTTATTCCTATTTCTGATGTAAAACAAAAAAAAGTCTCTAAAAATGCAAATTTTCTTAATGATGTTTCAGTCACGTCTATTGTAGTCTGTGCCTTCTGCAAACTATTTATGCATCTATGTCTTTAGCCCTAAAACCTTCCTTTCTGTAAGTGTCCTAGAACTTCAGCAGCTCCCTTCCTTAACTTCTTTCCTGGTTATTCTATACTTATGAGAAGTATTTCCTCCACAGCCTGTAGCTTTAGATATATTAAAAATAATTCCTTTGGTTCCGTAGAGATCCTTTTGTCTATAATTTGAACAACATGACTTCCACAGCAATGTGACCTCTGAATAGGGAACATAAATAACAGGGGCATCACTATTTACTTCCTCTTTTCTTATTATTGTACATAAATTGAGTAAAACTGCTTTGAGCCCTTGAAAAGAAGAATGTTGCTTGTTTATTTGCATAAATGAATAAAAACAGCTACAAAAAATTAGTTCCCAGCTTCACACCAGCACAAACTTGAATATAAAGAAAGCAGACGGAAATTAAGTGTCATAAAGCCCATTCACTAAAACCATAAACTTTGAATTAAATATCTATAAACTACCTTACTCAGATATTACTTGCTATTACTTTGTATGTAATTCAATCAGTTACCTGTATTCTAAACTCCTAACAAGCAGCCTAGAATCACAAATTAGAAGAGAAAGCTTGCTAATGGTAGGCAGAAACTGCAAAAAAAAATTTATAACAGTATGGAAATCAAAAACAAATGCAGAAATTGGAAAAAAAGTATACTCAGAAAGCAGAGCATCTTCCTATAATTCAAAAGAATGTGTAACTATTAACTTATTTAATAAAATGATGATAGAATAGTACCCCAAAATGGCCTTTAACCTTCTGAGAAAGGTAACCGTGTGGTTGATATATGGTGGAAGAAGAACCCTGTTGGGGGAGGGAGAAATCAAAAAAGGGAGAGATGTGTGCAGTATTTCGGTAATAATCTAAAGTTTAGAGGAACTAAAAACAATGTACACAGAGATTTAAGCCTTCGATTATATGCAACACTATATTCAGAATGATTAGTTTCCTAGGGATTCCAAATTTGCAACATTTTACTCTAAGAGACCTCAAATTAAAACAACCTAACATTTTTTAAACCTCTCTCTTTATGGCTCTCTGTATCTTGCTCTATAGGGAGACAGAAGTGCCCTACCTGCCTGCCCTGCTTACCTACGTGTGTCTGTCTGTCTATCTATCTATCCATTGCCTCCCTCTGCTTTTCAGGCCATCTCTCAGTCTGTGTCTTTTAAACTGTGTTTCCATCTCTGGCTGTTCTCTCCCTTTGCCCGTGCATCTTCTTTCTGTCTCTCTCCTTGCCTGGGATTCTGTCTTCATGTCTCTCTCTGTCTCTATCTGGGAGTGTCTTTCTCTGTCTCCTTCTGTACATCTCTGTGTGTCTCTGTCGCTCTACCTCTGGCCCCCTCTGACTCCATCTCTCTGTGGGTGTCTCTTTCTGAGTGCATCTTTTGGTGTGCACCTGTCTCCACATATGTCTCTGTATCCGAATGTGTCTTGGTCTGTTTCTCTGAGTGCATCTGTCTCTCTCCATGTATATGTGTGTCTCTCTCTGTGTATATCTATCTTCTTTTACTGTGTGTCTTTTTTCCTGTGTGTGTATATGTATGTTTTTCCCTGTCTCTCTCACTGTATGTCTCTGTCTCTTTCTACTGTGTTCTTTTACTCTGCTATCTTCCTCTGTGCATCTCCAGTGTGTGTGTATCCACATGTGTGTGTCTTTCCCTGTGTGTGTACTTCCACATGTGTGTCTGTGCCTCCCTCTATGACTTTCGTTTCTCCCTCCCTGTGTCCGTGTCTCTCTTTGTTTGTGTTTCTTTCTCTGAGTGTGGCCCTCTGTATGCATCTCTCTCCCAGTAATTCTCTCAATCTCCTCTCTCGATCACTTTGTGTGTGTGTGTGTGTGTGTGTGTTTCTTTCTCTTCCTGCATCTCTGTTTCCCCTTCTCTCTCAGTATCTCTTCCTCTGTGTTTCTCTTTCTCTGTGTGTCTTTCTTTGTGTCTCTTTGTGTGTGCCTCTTTCTTTGTATGTGTGCGTGTGCGCTTGTCTGCCTCCATCTAATATTGGTTAGAACAAACACACTTCATTCAGTGCCTTGAACTAGCACAACACCTGGGGTTTGGTATTAATACCTTGAAAGTCCTTACCTTTTGACCAGTCCTCCATTTATACTTCTGTTCTTGTTTGCTCTGGCAATGTCTCTGGTTTTTGCTCCAAGATTTGAAGCTAAAATAAAGCCAACTCTAGATAAATAAACTTAAAACAATATATCAGAACACACCTAAACCTTACCTTTGTTTAACAGAGAATTTACAGGATAAATGGTTTTCTAAAACATCCATAATGGGACTACTAACTGTATATTTCAACAGGTGAAATTAAATCTTTTTACTCAGAGAAAGATTCTTTCTTTCACACTTACATTTTAGTAAATACAGTTCAGGTTAAGCTTCTAGACATTCTCGCTACTAGGTTAGAGAACTATTTATTTTATTCAACTTAAGTTTTTTCTAACTCCAACAATTTAAGAAAAATAAAATTTATATTCTATATGTCATAAACTTAATACCAAAACTTTCAAATTTATTGATTTGAATTTACAATGTGTATTTTCATATGAAACATTTTATACTTGTAAAAATAATTTTAAAATACTATTCAAATTTTTTAAAAAACATAATGACTATTACTAACTTATGGAATTATTGATATTTGTCTTCCATTTGTTTTCATAATAAACATGACAAAACCTATGCAAGGGTTTTTTTTTTTTTTCTTGGTATGCCTTTTAAGGAGAATAAAATTTGATTTACTCACAGCTAGAACTCTGCGTTCTTTTAAAAAGTCCTCAAATAAAGCTGTAGTAAGCTTCTCCTTTTCCAATTTTCTCTAAATATGTTGATCTGGAGTTGGCAATCTTTTTCTAAGTTCCTCATTTACTTTTGGATTAGCTGAAAATATAGGAAGTTATTAATATCAAAGAAATATGTCCCAGTCAATGAAGCCATTTCCCTACATATTGCCCAAAAAGGTTAATAATAATTGCAGTCTTTTAATAAGAGATTCATATAGCAAGACATGTAGAAAATACAGTCTTTAATAACCTCTGGAGTATTTTAAAACATGTCTTACAGGCCTTAATGTGCTTAGTAATATACTATTTAAAACCATAATTTTATCCCTCTGCAATATACAGTCACTCTTCCTCATCATTTACCCAGCTAATGAATGCCAGCAATTAGTAAAATGTAATCCCATTGCACAATCATTTTAATGCTTTTAGCACTCAGAAAAGTAAACACCAAATTAATACTGCTCAAGCCATATCAGATCCTAGTTGGAAGCAAGCAATTATAGTTCAGCTCCTCAGGTGTAATTAAATGATTGAAATGATTTAGTTCCATAAATGCAAGTTAATTCATAAGCAAGCAACAAATATACTGGGAGTAATTACAAGAAACATTGACAGTCTAAGCAGGGCTAATTCTTTTAGGAGCCTGATATAGTAAAATGCTGCCCTCTCCTGGGCATGTAAGTGAATATCTCAGAGCCAAAAAACAAAACAAAAACCACTTCCCCAAAACCTAACTTTTAAAAAGTTACTAGAAAATATAATAATAACCAATATATCAATTTGATTTCATACTTTATACAGAAAAATTAACATATAGCTTATACTGTGATCATTTCTACACACCTGGTTATTAATGCTTTTTCTAATCAAACTCTGAATATGAGTCCCAAAACATACCAGGCAATATCTATTGTGTCTAATGAAACAAAATCACTCATATATAACACTGACAGGCTACAAGTGAAACTTCTAGTACCCGTCTGGACTGCCAGGCCAATGCCTATATTCTCTCATTGGTAAACCCTAAGTGGACTGTTACAGATAACAAATCAACTATGCTGTTCATAATTATGAAAATTTTCATGAAAAATAATCTCTGAAAAAAAATGAAACAAAATACTGTGTTATTCTAATTATACATAATGGTCTAAAATTAATTGTTTTTAATGAATGTTAATAATAAAATAAAAACTAGAGCGCTGGTATAATGTCATTATAAGCACATTTGAGAACATAAAGAATAACAGGTGGTACACAAAATAAAATGCATTCTGCTTTTACTTAACACCATTCCCAACTTTTTACTTCCTTAGGCTAAAATTCAGAACAAATTGACTCGTACACTACTCCGATGGACCTTAACAAAACTTCTTACACTAAACTTTAAGAAGGTTATTTATTATACATTTAAGTTATGCTATAATCAACAAATCTGTGTTAAGACATAAGTATTTGAATCACTAAATCCAATCAGAATCATCCTTTTGACTGTCTATAAAATTGAATATATTCTCAGATATTACCAACAGCACAACAAATGCTTAATTCTCCAATAAATTCAAACAATACCTGCAGAGGATAATGTTTAATACTACCGATATTTTTCTGGAGGGAGGAAGCATTATTGCTCTTCTAATATGCTTTCAAATGTATTAAAATAACCATATTCTAAATCACATCCTATCTAAACTATAAAAATAAAATAAACCAAAATATTAAAAAAGTCCTGCCACTAAGTTTAAAATGTACAGCACATTTGCTTTGCCCTTGATGTCACAGTCTTATTTTTCAATTCATATCTTGTACACTGTAAGTTAATTGCTTTTGGAAAGTACTTATTATTCATGTAAAAATTAATGTGCCAATGTGTTTAAATCCTCTTAAATGACCATTCATGCATCTTTCTTCTTTAAGTACCAATGAAATCTGTCAAAAGACATCAATGCAAAATGGTCTTAAAGAAAGTTCTAATAGAGATTTTTTTTCTGCTAACACAAGATATTCATATTCACCAACTTTAGTTAAATTCCATTAATTTTTTAAGCTACTTTTAATAAATTCACCAAGTAAAATTTTTAGGCCCCATAGTCCGTCATTTGTGTTCCAGCTGACATTATGAATATTAATAACAGTGTTATCCTGATTAAATAGGATTCATATGAAATCCCTGTGAATCCTATAGCTCAGACATCTCATTTTTCCAACTCTTTATGAATTTGGATTCAGACATTAAACTGGAAAAATCTTAAAAAACAGATTTAATGGCACATTTGCATATTGTCAAGCAAAAATTAGATGTTCTAATGATTCAAATAATTACAACTTATATATCTACATGTCATAAAAGGAATAGAAGATTTCTGTAAAAATGCAACATATTTTATACTCCTATTCATTTTAGGACAAAAGATAAGACTAATAAAATACTAATTCCTTTCCTTACACTCACCTTAAAGATTTGGTATCAAGAACTTGTTTTAATTAAAAATTATATATTCATGTTAAAACTAGCTGGAGGATTTTACAGTAGACACCAGACAAATTAGCCTCCTTAATCAAAATACTAACTTATTATACCACAGACAAAATATATGTTAATTGCTTTATCATTACTAATGTATACCAGGTTCAGGTAGCAAAATAAAATCAATTTCCAACTAAAGGTTGTTTATAAGTTTTGCTGGAAAAAATTACCAGGGTTAAAAAAAGATTAAAAAAAAATCTTTAATATAATAGAACATACCACATTAGCATGTTAAATTAAGATCTTCTCCATCACAGATTCGTAACCTCATTCCTTCAAGTTGCTTTTAATTTTCAAAGGAAATGGTCTTATTACATAGAAAAAAGGAAAAATAAATAATAATTAAGGAAACCGCATACCCCCTTATCTCTCTAGGTACATGGGAATCTGAATGTATCGGCCAAAATTTCCTACCTTCACCCTATCAAAAAAAATGAAGATTGAAAAAATTTAAACAAACATCTCTATGATCTCAAATGTGACTTGACTCTTTGTTTACTCAGCAGTAAAACACCTCATGAAACAAAATGTGTTCTTTGACCAGTCTAAAATTTCTAATCTGCCTAAAAAATTTTAAGTGATTTTGACATTTATCCTTTAAAATTAAAACAATGCCTTTTTGGGGCACCTGGGTGGCTCAGTCATTAAGTGTCTGCCTTCGGCTCAGGTCATGATCCCAGGATCCTGGGATCCAGCCCAGCATTGGGCTCCCTTCTCTGCGGGAAGTCTGCTTTTCCCTCTCCCACTCCCCCTGCTTGTGTTCCCTCTCTCTCTGTGTCTGTGTCAAATAAATAAATAAAATCTTTAAAAAAAAAATGCCTTTTTGATAGAGAGGCATTTTATTTAAAAATGGGATTCACCAATGTAACAATACCCAGGATTTTTAAAAACTTATTTTAAATAGGAGATGCCCTTCCTGCCTTCTTCCACAAAAGCCATATTATAGCAAACGTTTTTGACTGACTTCAGTTAATGGCATTTTTTTCATAACACATCTTTATAATCACAAATTTTTGTAAATTGAATCCAATAGTGTCCAAACTAGGACTCGTTTGTAATACTGCCTCGTATCCAATAATAACTAAGAAACTCTGAATTTTCTATTTGCTAGTTGTGAAAGTAGAGATAATTTCTGCATTTCTGAGAGCCAAATATTTTATCACATAACTCAACATACACAATATATGCATATGTTCCACTACTGGATTTTCATCTTATTAGACAAAAGTCTCTCAAACATTCACAGTTCCCAGCACATTCTCTTCCAAAAAGAATTCCTTTCACTCACTGTGCCTCATGTCACAGCCCATTCCCTACCAAGCTCTAGACAACCCAAGTTCTTCAGAGCCAGAGAAAGCTAGAAGTTTAGGGAGAAAGGATAAGGGATAAAAGAGGTCCCATTCCATAGCTATCACAATGTAAAATACATACACTATTTAATCCCTCAGTTTTACTACTAAAAGTATTTAGAAAAATATGTAAAATATATTTTTATGTATAAAGACTCACTGAAGCCATATTTATTTGTAAGAGAAAATATGCTCTAGTCATATTGGATTTCTTTCTGTTTCTTGAAGTTACCAAGCTCATTCTTGCCTCATAGTTTTTATACTTACTAGTTCCTCTGCCTAGAATTCTCTTCTCTGGCTCTCTAAACTATTTTTCTCATCATTTAGTCTGTCCATCTTTCTTTATTTCATTTGCCTGGCCATCCTACCTAAAGTATAAACTCCTCTCTCATCATATGATCTATGCTATTGCCTTCATGAAACTAATTTGGTTAGGTTTTATTTCATCGTTTCTGATATATCTCAATCAACTATGTATATGTCAGTTACATGCAAGCAGAGCCCAGGATTTATTCCTTCATCTGCTTTCTTAGAAGGTGTTTGGCATACAGTTAAGTACGCAGTATATGTTTGATGAACAGACATGTGGATGGATGGGTGAATGGATGGATGGATGGATGGATGGATGGATCAATGACTAGCAGAAAACAGACCTAACATAAATGTTCATCAACTGAAAACTGGTAATATAAAATGTGGTATAATCATAAAACAAATCTATAAAGTTTGTACCATATAAACGCATACATGTCCTATGTGTGGAAGATTCTTTTAACAAGCATCTGTTAAGCACTTATATATTATGTGTCAGACATTATTCTAGGAGATAGATATAAAATGATGAATAAGACATATACATTTCCTACCCAAAATATGTCTTTAGCCAAAACAATGCAGGAACAAAACATAACTACAATAAAATAGAGAGAAATGTAAAATTATACTTACATATACATACATGCTTGAATAGGTGTAGCAAATACACAGGAAATTTTTACCAGTGGTTACTCTAAAAAAAGGACCTAAGAGTTGAGGTGGGGATATTGAGGAATGAGAGAAGGTAGTATTTTATTTCATTTTATATCTATCTGTATAATTTGATTTTTTAAACATGTGCATGTATTATTTTTAACTTAATATTTATTAATAACCTTTGAATTGAACCAGAAATTATTTGTTGAAACTATTTGTAACTATTACACCTGAGAGATCTAAAATGAATAAAGGACATAATTTTTATGACTCCCTTGAAACTTTGAAAAAATTATTGCCTAATTAATCTTTTATAATTATACTTCATTATGGTTGCTTACTTGCTTGCTTGGTTTAAGTAGAGTGAAAAGTTAAAATTAAACTAATATATGGTAGGAATTTTTTTTGAAAAGTTTAAAATAAATGAGTTTCCTAAGAGTTACACAAGTAGTGTTCAGGATTTTAAGGTTTAAAAGTTTATAATAAAAATAACTTTTTCTATATTATGACTATTGTATGTCTCACATAGTTCCCCTGTGTTATATGCTTTAGTAATCAAGAAATTACTATCAAAAAAGATAAATTACTCCTCATCACTGAAGGTCATAGAAGGACGTCAAATTAAGAAATAAATATTTGGTTTAAAATAAATGGCTCTCACATTTTTAAAACTTTGAGGGCAAAACAATGTACCACTTGGAACACTGGGATTGTTTTCAGTGCCAGTTACAAATGACACTTTGATAACAGAAATGGCATTGCATAGCCTACTGATAAATTTTTAAAAAGCAAAACTTTAAAACTAGTATTATTTTCAGAGAGCTAATCAGATATAGGATTTTCTAAAATATCCTGAAACGTTTTGCCCTAGGCTAAACTAAACTAAATCACTTAATCTACCACAGAACAGAATATAAAAACAAAGTCAGCTTATAGAATAGTTTCTCTAGGGAACAAACAGCCTGTTTTTGTAAGATTCATGTGGGTGCCAAGTTCTGATGCAATTATCTACTCCTTCACACAAAGGCTTGTATTTCCACACAACCAATTGAAGTTCTTGGCATATCAAAGGTAAAAAAGTATAAGAGCAAGTTTAATCAATCTACAATGACAACTGGTATGAGTAGCCACTTGAAATCAAATGAAATAACAGCTATCAGAAAATGTCTTTCTAAAATAAAGTAAAAATAACCACATAAAGTCTTAATTAATTCATTAGGCATCATAATGATTACTAACAGATTTTATCAAAAAGCTATTTAATAATTCATACTAAGAGACATTAACAAATACATGCACATACATGAAAATCAACATATTTCAATAACAACAGTCATACTTTGGTGTTTTGAACACTTAATAGCAATTCATACGTTGTATAACTAATAAATGTTTACACCATTCACTAAAATTAGAGTACCTAATCATTCTCAATGGACAGTGCTGCATGCAAACTATGCATTTTGCTTTTTTAAATTGGGAGGTTAAAGACGACTTCTAGGCTGCAAAATACAATTACACAAAATCTTTAAACAGTAAAATAAACAGTAAAATAATTTCTTTTTCAATATCTAGGAAGTCACAGCTATCAGTCTCCTTTATCTGAAGAACTGCAAAAGCTCATGTAATTTCTTAAGAGTCATTCTTACTAAATGTTTTCACTAATGAAAAGTAAGTAGTAAGAATATGGTTCTAAAATAGATATTCCATAGTTAATAATAAAATAATAAAAATACAGTATGAAAAGAAAAATATAAGCCAAACTATATGTAGCAATTTCCTTCAAGAAACACTTTTGTTCTTCTTGCTTTTAAAATTATAATTTCCACAATAAATTATATGTAAGTATTGCACTATCTCTTTTCATCATACTATATAAAGAGTTTCTTAGAATCAGAAGTCCATGTTCACTAAAAATCTGTTTTAGAAAACACATTTTAAAAAAATTCCTAAATGGCAAATCAACTGAATTAAAAATATTACTTACAAAATTAATAGTAATACAATTGTACAGTGTTCTAAAGTATTAAATAAATTAAGCAGTGTGATTTTAATTTTTTAAAGACATTTTTCAAAAAACACTGAAGATCTTTCACTTAAAAATATGACTTTTACTTCTTTCAAGAAAATTGCATCTCTACAATGTGTTGATTACTACAAAGTGGCTATATAAACAATTTGACATTTTATACTACCAATTGTGTAAGAAAACCTTTTAAAAACTGAGAAGAAAATGAAGAGAAACCAAAAACTGCCATAAATATTCAAAGTATTACAAAACAGCATCAAACATTATAAGCCTTCTAGTGGAAGTATGTAACAAACTTGTACGTATCATCCTGGGGTGGGAGTAGGGGGGCAAGGGGAGCAGGATTCATGAGGCAGGCAGAATAAGATGAAACAAGATTAACTAACATGAACAATGAAGGACAATTGCTGAAGTTGCACAGTGTGTACATAGGAGTTCATTATTGTTTCTCTACTCTTGTACATTTAGTTTTCCATAATAAATAGTTTAAAACACACATTGTAATTTTTATAAAGGAGAATATACAGCATTTTTTACTTGCTGGCAAAAGCCATTAAATAATCTTTCACAGGACCAGCAATGAGTGTTCCATTTTATATGAGTGTTATCAAAACCCCAACAATCTCATGCCTGATATATATACACACAATACATCATGCAACAAATACTGCACATTTTTCACAAATATATATACTCACACCCCACACAGATTCTATACTGCATTTTGCCTAGAGAAAAGCCTACAAATTTCACCTTAGCATGCAGGAACTGAAAAGAAAATATTATCGGCTAAGGGATATGTACTTTATTTATTAAAATGCTTTGGAATTACTCCCTGACCTTAAATTTAACAACTTCCTGAAACTAAGACCTTATGTTTCCAATGACCTAGTGCATATGGGAAATAGGGTAGGTACACTCTGTCACCTTTAGCAAACATTTTCCTCATCAAGCTACTTACAGGCCATCTGCTATACCCTGAAGCAACATCCTAGTTAGCT